TTAAGTCTTATTGAGCCACTGAAGCTTTTGGTGCTTGATACTGGGAAGTTTTTAAAAAAGAAAATTTCTGAGTCCAACCACTCTTGGTTAGATGGACTCGAGGGTGGAATGGGGTAGTGGGCATGTCCAGACTTTGGAATCAGCATCCCTCCTAACGTGATGTTCTTTGGGTAAACTAATTTTTCAGAGTCAGCTGTTCTAAATGTATAATGAAGTTAAGAATAGCTGGTTCAGAGTTGGGATAAGTGCTTCTCTATTTGTTTGATGCTAGAGCCACACACAGTTTAAACCTAAACACCTGTTGGTTTTTCTGATTTTTAATATTTCAAGACCCGAGTAATCAAATTGGCGGGGCAACCCCATTTGGTAAAATAGGGAAATTGAAGCCAGACCATGTTGGGCAACTTCGACTCTCCCAGGCTAAAGCCTGACTGGCTGGTCGGAATCTCCTGAGGAAGTGGCCATGCCAGTGAGGAACTGGGCAGTGCCTGCTGCTTCTGCTGTACTTGTGCTGGGGTTGCCCTTAAAGATGGTCTCTCCTGGCTGAGAGAAATGGCCTCACAAGGCTTTTTGTCCACATGCCCAAAAGGGAATGAGCTGTGGCAGAGGCAGTAACCTGCACAGCCCTCCAGCAAGCCCAGAGGCAGGTCCTCCAATGCTTCACTCACCCCACTGATGCCCATCCGGTCACCCACCTCCTTGCTTCAGCACACTTTAGCTGCAGGCAGGCTTGGGTGACACAGACCAACAAATACAGCCACCTACCATTTATTTCCCTGAGGCAGATATTCCAGTTTCACCACCTTTTATTGGATACAAAGCCATAATTCTGATGCCCATGAGTCCTTTTAAATATACTCAGGTACATTCAACAAAGGGCATCTATGGGTGACATGGAACAAAGTGCTGGGATGGTGATGTCTGGGTGGGGCAGAGAAGTGGGGCCACTGAAGGCCCCCTGGGGGCTGGAGGTACAGGCACCACTTCAGAAACAAAACCCAAAAATGCTCTCCACCCCTCTGCCTGATGTGCTTGGGGTGGGGAAAACGACCCTCTCACAGCTCAGGCCCATTGCCACCTGGCTGTGCAGGAAAGGCAGGGCCTGGGGGTCAGTTGTGGAGGTCCCCACCGGCAGTGCCCACTAGAGCCAAGCCTACTCATGCCAGCCACGAGGCAAGCCTAGGTCACATCAGGCCTCTGAATGCAAGACCCCAGCCAGAGCAGAGCTGAGGCTGGAAAGCCCAAGGACAAGCTTTCTGGGGCCATTCCAGTGGTGGCAAGTGAGGCTGAGCCTTGTGGTGGGGAAGCCTGCCTGATTGTCAGGGCAGTCTTGGGACTGGCCAGGTTCCCAAGGGTTTGGGGAGGGAATAGGAGCTGGCTGCCTTAATTGGCCCTGGTATTCTGATCTTCACCCAATCCTACACCTTATTCTCAGGCAAGGGCTGCAGAACACACTTGTCCAAGAATAAATACACACAATACACAGCAATATATACAGAAATGCAGGCCTGGGACAAGGCTGGGTGAGAAAGCACAGCCAGCGGGGCTAAAGAGACATGCCAGGCCCCTGCAGGAGGGAAGTTACACTCATCAGGGACTGACAGGCGAGGACAGATCCCATCAGTTTGAGGTAACTCCTCCGGTACTTGGGCCCTGCAGCCACTCAGTCTCCTGTTATCACCCCAAGTCCAGCAGGAACTGAGTCTTTGGCACCAATAGTCACTCTATTAAGGTCTTCAATTTAGCGCCTTAGAAGGACTGGGACCTGGGCAGCTCCCCACTTGTGGCCCAAAGGACTAGGGACAGGACCAGGGGGACAGGCATAACCCAAAGGCAAAGGACGGAGTCAAACCTTGGAGCAGCAGGCCTTAGGAAGGAAGCGGCTTTTTTTGTTGTTAAGCAATTCCTGAGGGGCTGGCTCAAACTCCATTCATGGGGACTAGGAAAACATGAGCTGCCTTGGCCCTTAGGTGGTCTCTCCTGACCAGTTAAAAACCCTGGTTCTGGGCAGTCCACTTCCTCTCCTGGGATGCAGACATCTCCAGCATCTCCTTTGCTCCCTGCCAGTGCTGAGGAGGCAGCCTGAATAAAGTGTGACGAAACACTCAAGCCACATACACCGAGCCCCCGTGTGCTGGGGTCTGGCTGTATGGCAGGGAGGTGGTAGGGACACCAAGTGACCCCCACCCATGGGCCTTCTATCCCTGCCTGGGACCCCTGGAGCATGCCTTCGTTTGCTCTCTGAACCTCTTTGCATTTTGCTAGGTGTGCGATATGGGTGAGTGAAGGATGGCTGGCCCCTCCATCCTGTTCCCCATCATCAGTGCTAGCTGTAGGGTTGCCAAAGTGAAAGGGAGCATTCCCACCAACAAAAGCTCCCCCTTAGCAGCGGGGCTCATCCCCTTGAAGAGAGGCAAAAATAGCACTGAGTTGGTGGGTGGGGGCTGTAAACCTGCCAGTTATCAGGGCAGGAATGAAGTCTGGGCCACATAGGTCTGTCAGCCCCAGGGGCGGGTGTGCAATGGGACACACTATAACCCGTTTCTGTTAGCAGGGGCCCTGGCATGTGCAGTATCCACTCCCAAATATCTTTCACTTGGCTGGAAAACACAAGGTGGGGGACCTGGTGGGTTTTCTGGAAACAGGCAAGCCCATGAGAGGCAAACTTCCCACTAGCAGGAGGGGGTCTTGTTCACTCTGCTGGGTGCAGTGCTGGTGCTGTGCAGGGCTGTCGCACAATGGATCAAAGAGTGAATGAACCTACCACTGGCATCAGTCCTTTCAGCACCACCTTTCTCCCACTTAGCTCACTGCCCATGCACCCCAACTTCCTTTCTCCCAAGGCTGATGCCGGGCATCCTGGTGGGCACCCCCCCCCCCCC